AGAGAGAGAGAGAGAGTTATTTTTATTTGTAGGTTTTTATTTATTTATTCTTTTGAGTGTATTTAAAGGAAAGGTGTCCCTTATTTATAAAGAGATTATTGGTGAATGAGTAAAGAGTTTGATCTTGTGAAAAATCTTGGGGTGGACTTCCTTGCAGACCCAAAGAGAGGATCATCATATAGCTTTTTCCCAATTAATTGGGGTTGGCTACACGAATCCTGATCTGTCATTCTATTCTATTTAAGGCTATACCTTCAGTGAGGCTATAAGTCCCTCATATCTTTTCTGACAACTACCAACCACGTCCTTTTGGGCCTACCCCTTGCCCTTTTCAATCTTTCCACTTGAACTAACTTGCACCTCCTAACAGGTGCTGGACTGGGTCGATGCCACACATGGCTAGCCCACTTAAGTCTACTCTCTCTTATCTTATTGCCTGTTGGAGCCACACTTGAACTTTCAAAGAAAAAAAACATCTCTGAAAATCCTTTTTATTTTATTTTTATTTTCCTGTTATTATTTCTCCCTGCATCATTTTAGCTATTGTCTTCTGTGAGTACAAGTATAGAAGCTTTCATACAATTATCAGTTAAGCATATTTGCATGGATGCCATTCTTGAAATGAAATTACCCTTTGTCTGTTGGACAGCCAAGGGATGGTTAGGGTTATCTCTCTAGTTTATTCCCTGTGAAAATTTTCCTGGCATATGAAAGCAGAATGTCTTAATTCACAGACAACTTTAGTCAAATCTGCCTTTTTTGTTGGCATTTAGCTACCCTAAACTGAGGGGAAGGTTGAGTTGGAGATACACCGATAATCAAAGCTACTGAAGTAGGTTGAGAACTCCTTAACTCAAGCCATCACAGCCTAAGTATGTCCTATCCTATCTACTGGCTCAAGAATTATCAATAGTAAATTAATCCTTTTATCTTTACACAGTCTCCTCTGGAAAAGAAGAACAGGAATCAAAGGTGTATGCCTTTGCATGCCATTAGAAGTAAGAATAAGAATATTTTGTATATGTGCCAATATTACATCTGATCACAGACCCTATCAAATTTCCCAATGAAGCCTTTTCTGAGAATGTACATGTAAAAGAAATGATGAATGCATGAACAACAGAAATTACAGAAAATACATCGACCAGAATGTTTTTCTTAGTTGCTGTCTGAATTCCAAAGGAGACTCATCTTGGTTAAGTGTTAATTTTGTATTCTATTCTTATAAGAATTTATTTAATGATCAAATGCATTATACATACCCTCATTTACTTTCAGGCACTCTTAAGCAGAATGATTTGGTGTCCACAATATATAGGAGCTTGCAGTGGTGCTTTGCAGAAGGCGAAGAGACATATGGAAGTTTTGAGAACTCTATGTGTCCATGTAAAATTTTGAGGGTTTTAGAGAAGGCTGATGGGAAGGATGGTCCCCAGTATGAAGTGGGGTGGCTGGATAAAAGCAAGAATGTGGCCTCAATATCCATTGTGAATGCTGAGTCATTGACTAGGAAGAAACTTCCATTCACTAGAGAGATGCTGAAGTCATTCATGAGAGAGTCAACTTCAAAGACTTCACCATGGGTGGTCCATGATATTCTGGCACAGAAGCATGGGATCTCACGTGAACCCCCCAAGGAGATTCTGGAGAAGATTGGGAAGAATACCAAAATGGTAAGTTTTTTTCTGTGAAATTTGATCAGTTTCCCTGTGTTCGTGGCATTGTCAACTCAAAAGGTTGCTATTTTGTATTCGAGCTTACTGAAATTGATTAGTGTTCTTTTCTCAAATTGACGGTGGCAATAAACAAAGGCATTCTATATTTGGATTAAAATGAATGGGTCAGTCGATTAATTTGTTTGGATGTTAATCTTCTCTTTTAATCAAGAAAAGTACGTTTGTAGTTCGCAACTGCCAAAAACTGCACAAGACTCCTTTAAATTAGTGAACTGTACAGTTCAGTTAGTCTGGAGCCTTCCATACTGCCTGCGGTGAACTCAATGCTTCACAACCAAATCACTTGTTCAAATGAAAATGCTGTCTATTTGAAATACATTAAAACCCATTATTTGAAACACATTAAATACATTAAAACCCATTATTTTCTACATCATCATCATCTTCATCCTAGCCTTATCCCAACTATTTTGGGGTTAGATATAGGAATCTTGTTTTGCCATTTCGCTCTATCAAGGGCCTTACCCTTAGTCAGGCCACTACTATCTTAGTTTTCTACCTATACTAGCAAATCTTTTCCAAATAATTTAAAGCATTTAATTTAACCACTAGTATCTGACTTTTGGAATCAATGATAAATTCTCAAGTGTTTTTCCTTGCAAAACACTGGTGGACAACTTGTGTCCCCATAGTTGAGTGGCATTGACCATAGAACGATTAAAATTTAAAATCATAATAATAGGAATTTGCGTTGCACAAAGAAATTGTATTTTGATTATAGTCGGATAAAATATCACTAAAGATGTTTATATTTCTGGAACTATTTCATTTGCCTATGTATGACTATTAAGAGGTTGGCTATGTAGAATTCTAAACTATAAATTCAAAAATTTATCTTCTTTTATTTTGTTAGTGGATGGATATTTTACTTACAAAACATTACAAAAAATTAAACCTACTACAATCTAGGATCTTTGTAACTTACTGACAAATATACTTTATTCAATGCTAAATACCGACTAACAATTTTAGGAAGCAGAAAATAAGAAAATAATACCAAAAATAAATTAAATAACTAAGGGAAAACTTACTGGGCTTTTGCCTAGGGTTACCCCCTTAGGGCTTATCAGTAGGGGTCGCAAGAGGTTGGATCGGTTTCGGGTTCAGCCTTGGATTTGGACTCGGACCTGAAAATTAGGGGTGGCAATGGGCCGGGTGGCCCGGCCCTGAAAAACTAGGGCATAGGCCACAAAATTTGACCCGAGGGTCAGCCCTCAAGGGAAAAAGGCTGAGCTATGGCCAGGCTAGGTCTGGCCCAGCCCAGTCCCCGCTCTTTGCCAATCCTACTGAAAATATACTGTGGTGGGACCCTAAATTGGAGCCAACCCAAAAATCAAAATGTCTACCTATTTAAATATATTCCATAAATATGTTAAATATATATGCATTATTTAAAGGGTGTGATTTGTATAGAGCCGAGGCTTTACGCAATCAAAGTAGAGGGCACCTTCAAATAGTGTTGTGCAATGTGGTTTCAATACTAGAAATCTTTGTGATAGCCTTAAAATATATTTTCATCTCCAATTATAAAATTTAAAGCTTAAAAAATAGTGTAGATCGAGAAAATCTATGAAAACTTGAAAATCTTGAAAATTGACGGTCCAAAAATTCATTACAAGATGCACTATTTCCAAAACTTGAAATCCATTTTTTTCTCATGTCCATGCATCGTGATATTGAGATGATCAATTTGAGGATATTTGGGCATCAAAACAACCTCTTCTAGTGAAATTTTTCAGGTGTGCTTTAATTTGATTATTTAGAGCCTTGGCTCTATATAAACTTTTTCCTTATATAAATATTCTAACTATATATATATTTGAAATAAATTAATAAAATTTGGGCTGGGTCTACATGAACTTGAATGGTATTCGGGTCCAAGATTTGGACCTTGACCCGACCTGCCAAGTCCATATTTTGGATCCTTACCCGAACCTGGGTAGGGTCTATTCGTCGGGTCTCGGGTTGGGTCTGAATCCATTGCCACCCCTACTTAGCGCACCCCGTACCCGATCACTTGACAGATGGCTAAAGGGATAATCAAGAATTAACAAATAATAGAAAACTTGGTCAAAGATAATCTAGATCCCTAGAATATCTTAAAAAACAACCCCTTAGTTAAAAATTACATAAATACCATTTTGGGGTTTTTTTATGCCATTTAAAATCATTTTAAAATTTTGAAAAAACCTAAAAACACAAATTATTTGAAAAGAATATTTTTGGAGTTCCAAAAAAAATTTAACATCACACAAAAAACTTTAGAAGTGGATTAGTACCATATAGGTAAAAAACAAGTGACTATCAGGGCACTCCACCTATGCCATGATCCATTATCCACTACTTTATTCTCAAACCAACCCAATGGGATCCATGACCTACAGTCATGTGTATGGGCCCAGGATTGGCTCGTCAAAGCTGGCCAATAAACAGTGGAACTATTGTCTTAGTATGTTTATTAGAGGTTCCCCTCTCAAGAGCAAGTCACATGCACGTATTACTATAATGCAAGGGGGCTCTCTCTGTGCACATGTACATATGTCCCTCTATATAGGGTTGCTTCTCAAAATGCTGCCATGATATGTATAATAGCATGTGGAGGTTTTGTTGAGGATTTGACCCTTGCTCTCACAAGCCTTTATCTGCACATCAGCGACTACACAGCTCTCATAGCCTTCAAACAATGACCCTGAGTATCTTTTCAACCTCAACAAGGGATGACCCTCTACAGACTATCAATAGTAGTACAACATGCCCAAGGGTAAGGGTTTTGGACATGACCGGGCTATAGTCCGCCTAATCCTAGGTCAGTCAGTCACATTACACTCCCACAGTAGTGTATATTCACAATGATTTATTATGTTTACATGCTCTCAAGGCCTTTAAAGGCCACAAACCCCAACACGTATTGTACCTCTTTTATGAACCCTCCTAAACAACAATGTTGTTCATGATTCATGTCTATTTGACCTACATATAATCAACATAATTACTGGTCTTATTTGACTGAATTCTAATCAGAATTCTTGTTACAGTTCACTGATCTTTTCCTACATGGGCTACTGGTTAGACATTAACTTGCAACTAAGTGTTTTCGTCTCCAATCTTAGGACATGTTTATAAATTTTTGAATAGTAGCTTCATCTAATGATCGCTAGTGTGTTTCATGACCAGGAGAATGGGCATGGAAATAGTGGTGCAAAGAAGAGACCAAATATTGAAAATGGGGAAACAGAAGATTTGGCAAACAAAAGGAAGAGGAAGACAGGTCTATACTATTAAGTTTAAAATAGCTAATCCTGAGTTTATGTTCTAATAAAGTGTGACTTCATGCTTTCCTTATGTGTAGTTGAAGTGCATCATTCAATCAGCACTTGGATACTTTGCTGGCCCCTATCATACTATCTTAGCTCATGTCTGACAAGTTGACACTGGCCAGCCTTGTTGCCATTTGTCAAGTGTCAACCTCTGATGCTGAGTTCTTGTTGGTTTTCTCACTCTTCTCTTGACTTATCATTATGTCTTCTGAGTCAAACAGTAGTGTTTGATATTCATTTGTCGTCTGTGTGTGCATACATTTGTGTATTCTTTTGCTCCTTCATGTTTTCATTCGCTTGCATGGTTTTGGTTTCAATTTAACTAGAACATGTGGTTGTGTTCCATGATACTTTCAAAAAATCTATTTGCTTTCTGCCTAAAGCTACCTGAGCATAGAGTTTGAAGGCTGCATGCTTTATAAAGTACTTTGATGGAAAAGTAGTGTACCAACAGACTATTTACTCTAGATCCTTTGTTTCTAGATTAATTTTATGGGAAAATATTTTATCCTCCCAAAGGCAGACTGCTCCTCTGATATGGCCTTTGCATTTTGGGCATCTTAGGGGCATTTGTTTTTTTTTTGAAACTGGTAGACTTGTTAAATAGAAAGAAAAATTACAGAAGCACATGGAGTGTTAAGATAGCATCTCACAAATTGGGTGCCCAGAGTACACGGGGGGAGGGTATTAGAAAAACACAACAGAAGAAATAATTAGAGAAAACAATTAAAAGAAAGAATCCAAAGGGATCGACAAACATAATTTAGATGTGTAGAGGTATGAGCCAAAAGAGGTGGTGAGAGTCCTTAAAGTAGGGCGTGGCTGAGACAAAATAAGGGTGGGGCCAACGAGGCCCTATCTTGTTATGCCAGGGGCCAAAGATATCCAAGTGTTGGATTCGTTGCTGAGGTAACGACGAAGCACCGCCAGGATGCGGTTGAGCGCTAAGCTTCTGAGCTGTCCTTACGAGTATGAAATATCCCTTGGAGACTTGCCACTGGCTGCGAGAAGGATAAAGGAGGAGGGAGGTGGGGGAGGGATGGTTGAAATCCTGTTTCCAGAATAGGGGCAAGAGAGACGAGAGATGTAAAAAGAAATAAAGGAGGGGAGGGGTAGAATAGGGGTTTCAAGAGGGGGTAGAGAGAAAAAGGGGTGTGTGATAGGGCAGAGTGAGGAAGTTTTAAAGAGAAGAGGTGCAGCACTGAAGCAAGGGCTGGAAGAATAGAGAGGTAGAAGGGGTATAGCAACAAGTACAACCAAGGGGGGGGAGGGGGGGGGGGGGAGGGAGAGGGTGGGGAGAGGATATAACCTGGGAGCCCGAGATAAAAGGGGAGAGGGAGAGAAGTAAAGTGGCGGAAGTATTTTTTTTTTTCTTCTAGCGTTTCCTTTTCTCAACTTTTCTTTTTTCCTTTTTTTTTTGTTTCTTTTCTTTCCTTTTTTTTCTATTACAACCTTTGGGGCGGGGGAGCATCTTAGGGCTATTTGTTTTGGCCCAAAATTGGCATACACATTCTCTTGGATTCACTCAAGAACCCCATGAAGAAATTTTTGGGAAAAGAAGCACTGAAAAATGGTTTTTTTAAGCGCAGTGAGTGCAGGCTGTCTATTTCATGGGCTAATCTTGCCCTCTAAGAACCCAAAAACCATTGTTATTTTTTTTGTTTTAAATTTTTCATCTTGTTATCGTGCAATTTACAAAAGGTAGGGCCAAACCAATCCCCCTAGACCTTCAATCTTTCTTAAATTGGATGGCCTGTGTTCATGATTTCCTGTCTCCTTAAAAATATTTTCCCCTTTTTTCAAAATTTTCACTGTCAATTTGTATGCCATATTGGGGTCGAAACAAATGCCCATAAGGCCTCTCACAAGGAGGAGTTGGCACTGTAGCAGTTCGCCACAGATCTTTTCCCATTTGTCGTTGATTTGTAGCATGGTATGTGAACCTGCAACCTGGGCCATATGTCTAAAATTCTTTAGTTCTGTATCGTTTCCTATGGTCTCGTCAAATTTCTTATGTTGCAATTGTTTTTTTCGCATGAGTTACTGTTTCCATTTGTTTTTTCTTTCCAATCTGAAATAGTATAATAGAAGTGCTACTATTGCGTATGGGCATAATTATCAAAGTCAAGTTTAGATTATGATTTTTGCAGAAGAGAAGGAACCATTGGTTGAACAGATTCAGTACCCAATCGATGATCTCTTGGTGAAGCTAGGTGATGATGATCCTGTATATACCCAGCGTCCTGTACCGGCCACGGATTTCCTTGTGCCAATGGATTGTGTTGGGGATCTTTTAATGGCTTGGGATTTCTTCTCTTCATTTAGCCATGTTCTACGCTTGTCCCAATTCTCTCTTGATGACTTTGAAAATGCAGTAGTTTACAAAGAAAGTGATTCAGACCTCATTGTAGAGGCTCATTCTTCCATTTTACGCATGCTCATTAAAGATGAAAGTGACTACTATACTTCTATACAGGAAAAGAAGAGGGACTTAAAGGTAACCATTTACTCCATTTTTACCTTCCTATGTACACTTGAATACAGAGGCCCTACAGGGTTGTAAGGTTTGTGAATCATGCAAATCAATAATTGGGTGCCTTGCTGTTTGCTTGCAGATCACGTCTAAGAATTGGACTGGTTATTTATGTGAATTCTTACAAATGGAAACTGTTTCTGGCTTTTCGGGTCAATTGACAAAAATTAGGGATGGTCATCACTTTATGCTTGATGTCAAGGTCAAATTAAACATCCTTTCTGAATTGGTTTATTGGGCTCTTATGACGGAGGCAATCAGAGGGCAATTGGATGAGTATATTGAGCAATGTCAGGCTATCATGTTGACTAAGCGGGAGGAAGAACTGGAGGACTTAAGGAAGAGAAAAGAGCAGCAACAGCAACAGAAAGAAGCAAGCTTGACCAAGGGCAGTGACACTAACAGCCTAGAGGCTTTGGATTCCAGGCAAAATGGGGATATCAAAGAGGTTCTGCAACCTGGGAAGTCCTCATGGCAGGAAATCGTGCCTCTTGAAAATGGGTGAGTCCTCTTTGTTGGGTTGAAAATGGTCATGCCTTCTTTTTGAAACATGGAATTGGGTATATCATTATGTAGTCGTATGAGCATTGAATGCATTGAAGATGCTCGTAAAAATATTCTTTCCTTTTACTTTTTCTGTTGGGGCAAGCAAGGCACTCTTACACGGTTACAGCCAGACATATACATCTTTACTGTCGGGATGATCCTGCACTTGATGTGCATACGACTCTCTTCTTCTGGGCTGTCCATCTGAATCTGGGATCCCATCAGTGACATTCTACTATTTGCCTTTCTGTGAATGCTTTCCTATAATATCTGATTGAACTTGAAACTTGAGAGAGTATAATGGTTTCCGTGAGAAGACATGATGATCAGAGTGCTACATGAACTAGTTTTGATATCAAGATGGGGCAATTAGCAAACCTTTGATGAGAGCAATACAACGCGAGAAGTAAGCTATTACTAATTAATGTTGACTATCAACCTTAAAAAAAATAACACAATATAGAGTCCATAAATGTACATTGTGGCTTGATACTGCAACTCATAAAGGTGAACACTGCATTGCTTATTGCTTTATCTGATTAGTTGTGGAACTCTTCGATTTTTGTAAAGTTCATGAAGTGATTACAACTCTCTCACTCACTCTCTCTCAGACACACACACTATGCTATGTATTATGAGAAAAGGTTTGGCGCATTAATTTGCAAAAGATCACACTTTCTTATCTTGCCTAGTTGCTTGCTTGAAATTGATCCAGAGTTTTCAAATAATTATGAACCGTTGGAACTCAATAACATTTTATGTGTTCCTTTATGCTTTATCCACAGAGGGAACAAACAGGCCACTTTGTTGTCAAGAAGGATAATGATGAAACAGAAATTAAATGCACAAATGCATGAAGCGAGAGAGAAAAAAAGGATACAGATGGAGGAGCGTAAGAGGCTGCGTGACAAAGGAAAGCAGGCAAGAGAAAAGAAACTAAAGGAGAAGAGGGTAGGTTGAAGAAATAAAACCCATTTGTTGGTTCATGATGAAGCCTGTGGCATTTCAGATGTTTCTGATGAAAATTAGCATGCACATAAAGGCACTTAACCCTGAATTATTTTGTATATTACACGATGAAAATTAGCATGCCCATAAAGGCACATAACCCTGAATTATTTTGTATATTACATGACATCTCAATCATATTTCATATATTACAGCAAGAGCACTTTAATCGAGAAATAGAGAAACGAATCATAAGAACCAGTGTGTTAGGCAAGGACAGAGACTACAATCGGTATTGGTTTTTCTGTCGAGATGGGAGGCTGTTTGTTGAGAGTGCGAATCACAACCAATGGGGTTTTTATTCTTCCAAGGAGGAGGTACACTTGGTTACTAACTTCAGCTTTGGGGCTCTGTGTATGTTTGTACATGTGTGGCATCTAGTGTTCTAATGATGAAGAATGCTCTCTCTCTCTCTCTCTCACACACACACACACACACACACACACAGAAACACATGTATTCTACTGCCTTTCTCTATAAAATGTAAGCTATACTTTTCTTTCTTTTTTTCCTTTTGCAGTTAGATGGATTATTGCTATCCTTGAATCCAAAGGGTGATAGGGAAAGGGCTCTAAAAGGACAGGTTGAGAAACATTATAACAAGATATGGTGGGTACCTTTTCTGCATAAACTTTCCTTACTTTGCATGCATTTTGCATCTTATTTCACATTTATGCCATTTGTATCTCCATGTGCAAGCTACTTGGTATAGATCCTTGGTTGTGTGGAACTCCAAATTATCTTTCCGAAACACATTTTTATTGCACAGACAACTGATAATTTTTGAAAATGTTACCTGTATTAAGTAAGAGTAAAGGTGTTACAAGAGAAGGAGCATCCCTAACAGGGGTGCTCAGTAACAGTGACCCCTTATGGGGCCCAAAAAATGCTATACATCCAGTACAATACAATAAAAAAATAAGCAGGCAGAGGTGGGGCTCGATTGCTGTTAAAGGTGCTCAAAAGACCTGTAAGAATTCTGGTGAGTAGTACCTTCCTTTGTGAGGACATCTGCGACGGAATTGGCTTTCCTCCAGATGTATCTCCATACAACATGTGTATTAGTGCAAAGGTGGAAAATCTCATTGAATGTATGCACCAGTCTCCAGGGACAGGGGGAGGATTGTGAAGCCCAGACAAATCTTAATTTACCAAGATGAGATGTATTTCCCTTTCTCTTGACCAGAATATCGTGCTTTTCGGCAATAAATGTTTTTAAAAGTGATAAGCTACAAAATTTATGCCACTGTAGGTGTTCCCTGAGGTTGTTTTTCACCTTTTATCTTCTTTTTTCTTTTCTGAATGCGAATTTTCTTCTGGCCAAGGCCACACAATTCGAAATATCTATCAGTAAATGAACAGTTGAATTATGATGAAAAGGTGATTCTCTTTTGCATTAAAATATTAGCTTGAGGGAGAAACCTAGAGGAAGAAAACTGAAGTTGTTTCACATGATGCCAAGTGTAGGGACCATTTTAAGGTTATCAGCTGTATTAGACTGGGCAGATGCAAATAGATGAGCTCAAGGAGAATGGTGATGTTATCATCGTCTTCTTTAAATGCTATAATCTACTAAGGGACTGTCTAAGGTCAACTATAGAGTTCATAGACGTTGCTCACTTCCAATTTTAATGGCTTGTTGCTCCATAGATCAATTGGGGAACAAGAGGTTTAGAATGTAATATTCGTTTTTGGTAGATCGGGATCCATTACAAGATGGTTTTTTTGGATCTTTGGTAGGTGTGTGGGAATAACAGAGGTGATAATAGTGTTTTATCAGGGGGTTTGGATCTATATGATGGTTTCTTCTTAATTTTTTTCATGTGACGTTGATGCAGCCTATCCTTTTTGCTATGTTTCAGTGCTGGAATCCAGAAGAGATCCAAGGAGATTGCTCAACGCAATGACATGGACACTGCTGTTTTACGTCGCTCAATTCGTGTTCACGGGCCTCGAAAATGTGGTGCAACACTGCCCTTTCTTAACTATGGCAACAAGCTCAAAACTGACCTCTGATGAGGAACATCTCAGGTATACGAAGAAAGGTCTCCACAATGGTATCCCTCCCATGACTTAGAACTAACGCATCTCTTTTGTGCATATACATGATCCATCAATGGTATTTCATCCATATTTACCCAAACAAAAAAAAAAGGATGTTTCATCCAAACCTGAATTCATTTTCTTTTTTGTTTTCTTTTGCGTAAGTTTCTTTTAAAGTGGACAGGTACATATTTGCCATGTCCGCTAACATGTTGTCCTTGATCTCCACAATGTTTGCATGTAGTCATTCTATCTCATTCTGCCTCATCAACACTTGATTTGGTGCATTTATGCCACATTCTCATGTCCAAAGTACAGTTACAAACTCATAACTGAAGTCTTCTTATCTTTGTTGACAAAAGTTTTGGTCTAGTTTGGGGTTTGGCTAAGCATCTCAGCCTACAAGCCTTGTCAAGTCAAAATATTGTAATTTTGTTTGGCTCAAGTTAAGTAGAGACCCAGATATATCAATGGCCAAAAATTCACCTGAAGCTTGTCAGAATCTTTGGAAGAGCTGGTATTCCGAAAATCAATTTTTTCTAATGTCTCAGATGACAACCCTGCCCTCTTTGAACTCTGTTTTACTTTTTGTGAATTTTTCAATGGCTACCCTATTTGTTCTAGTGCTCTTTCTGTTTTGTTTCTTTGTGTGCATGGGAGCTGTGATAATTCCATTGAGTTGGATCAACACCAGAATATCAACATCCATGGAGTTATTTAGAGTAAATAATTCGATTGAATCACACCACTCCTCTTTCTTGACTCCATAGTTTTTGTGTGTGAGAGAGAGAGAGAGTGGTGATGTTATAAGGGGAATTTAGGCTGCATAAAATGAACCAAGAAAACTCTTTCCTATTTGAAGCCTACTAACTTGCAGGATCTGTTTTTCTAAATTATAGCTAAATCATCTAAAGTATGCTCGAGTGTTCTTTCTGACAACCCCACGCCTATGATGGGGTTCTTCCTGGATATCGTTTGATCTGAGGATTTTTTGATCATTTTGATTTAACTTGACTCAAAAAATATTTTTAGCTCTTCTGAAGGTTCAGAGTCAATCTTGGGGTTTTGCTTTGGAGCATATATATATATAAAAGAAAAAATTGGGATTAGCCTACTAGCTCATATGAATATATGAGACCAACGGTTCAGATTGAATCTGGGTCGATCTGATGATCACGGATGTTCAGTAGTGTTTGAATTTTAATTTTTAATTTTTACAAATCCAAATCACTTGAAATTTTAGGCGTGTGTTTATAAAAAATAGATGAATCTTTAAAAAATATCAAAAAAATATTTATATGAATAAATTGATCAAATACTCCCAAAAGTTTAGGGGTATTGGTCATTTTTTCATGATATATTTTTTTTATATTTTATTAGTGTGCCTTGTATGTAG